TTTGAAGAAAATTAATACCTTAATTAATAGTTACTGAAATAAGGAAATGGTTAAGACTTTTATCCTTCTCCTTCTCCCCTCCTTGTGCAAAGAAATATAGTTTTGCTTCCGTACTTGTTTTAGTCATTATGTTCCTTTTGTATTGAAAAATCCAAAAGACCTTTCAAATAGTCTAAATTTTCTTGGACGCTATGAAGACAACAGCAAAGCAAATTATCTTTTCAACTGCAAGAAGATATCACTTGAAGTGTATATATCAAGACCTTCCAAGTTTGCTCTATTGCTGTGATTGATATCACACTTCAAAAAAAAAAGAAATACAGAAGCTGGGGTGTTTCATATGTTAAACATAAGTGAGAAAAATAGTTGTAAAATCTGAAGAGCTGTTAGAGCAGTAATATGTAGCTGTTTGAAAAAAAACATTAAACAAGAAATAAGTACTGTAGATCCTCCCTGAAGTGCAAACTCCCTTTTGTGGTTTTTATGGATTCTATAAAGTGTTGGCAGATGAACAGCATAATAAAAAACATGACTGTCCCCAGTTGTCTGCTCTGCCCCTCTGCCAAATGTCTAACCCACTACCCCTCAGCAGTCAGTGCAGAGACATCCACTGTTTCTGAGGAAAAAAAAAAAGGCTTTTTAGGATAAATGCCACCTTTGTCACCTCTTTAATTAAAAGATGCCAGGCTGCACGTTCCCATTCCCATTCCTTAGGCGAGGGGATATTGTCCCTTGTGAAGGACAACAGCAGGAGGAAGCAATTCTACCCCCCTGCAGCAAGGCTTGTCACACTGTCAGCAGCTCCCAGTTATGAGCCAAGTTAGTCCCCACTCCCTCATTTAGTTCAATTGTTTGAGTGGTAATTGCAGAAGTATTTGGATATGTCATTATTTGTTATGAAAACTTTGACTATGGAAAATGAGGCTCTTTTAAAAAATAAATCACACTTTCGTATGATGAAACCGCCTTTGTTGGTACATTTCTGTGCACATAAGACTAGTTTTCACCTCCATTTCCAAAGGTGAACTAACTGACTTTTAATGAGTTGCAAGAAAATATGAATAGCATTAAGAATTACGTTTAGCTAATTTTGCAGACAAAAACCAGCATAAGGATGTCTTAAGTGTTATCAAATGTTTTCAATTTACACTTGGCACAATTATTTCCATGCTTTACTTGGGAACTGAGCAGATGCCAAACCAAGGAAGTAAGCACATAGAGAGCAAAGTCTTGGAACTACAAAGAGATTAAATAACATTTCTGAAAACGGTTTTTCTATTTGAAGACCTGAGTAAGGTTACAGAGCATCACTTTGGTAGGCAGCTGAGCATAAAGACAAAACACTGTAACTCAGCCTCTGTACAGCACTTACACTCAGCTTTTTATTTTATAGATGTCTGAAATGAGACTGGGTTTAGGTGAGCATACACACTAACTTGTTTAGCTTCCTTAGTTACTGAAACAAGATAGGTATTCAAATAAATGTTTTGATTAATAACCATTTATATCAGTATTTCATAATTATTCTAAAAAATGACAACACATTTGCAATAAGCAGGCTAATAATCTGGGAAGCTTATCTTTAATGTATGTTGGATATTGGACTGCCTTGTGCCTGGTGTTTTTACAGTTTTGCCTAGTTTAGGTTTTCATGTCTAGAAAATCTTCATGGATTTCCCTAAGTGCATGTAAAATTATAGACAAAAGCACAATGATATCGTTTCCATAGTCAGTTTTAAGGCTTCTGCAAAAATAGATAAGCTCCCTGGTCTCTGTGTTTGGGGACTCTGCACTGTGATGCCATCACTCCACCAAGGACAGATCCCCACGGAGGCTCTGCCAGTTCACACATCTCCCTGCAGTGACTGAAAGGCACTGGAGCTGTGACATGAGACACTACTGTATTTCTCTGTAGTAGTTTCTTTTGAGGGAGCAATGTTTTGACAGTGTTTCTCAGAATTGTATAATTTCATTTTAAGCATATAGGTTCCACTCTTTTCACAGAGTGAACAAACACTGTTAAACTAAGTTAACAGAACAAATCTGTGACTCTAACCTGTATTTTACACAAGGTATACTGCTTGTATTTACCCCTATTTTTCAAAGACACTCTACTCTGAAACAGTATTGGTGTTTCTCATCTTGTCTGGGTGTCATTCAGAAGTGTCTCCCTGTAGTATATGCGCCAGCGGGCAGAGGTTTAATTAAAGTAAAAAGAAGTGGTACGGAAGACGCCCTGAAATTTAATTTTAATATTTTGGAATGTGTGCACACCACAGGTGTGGTGGAGCACTTTAAGGCATCTGAGTGATTGGTGACAAAACAAGTGACAGGGACAACACCCACTCCTCTCTCCTCCAGCATGCCCTCCAGGCTGCCTGTGTGCAGCAGTCCTGCTGCTGCACACACAGAGAGGGCTCCTGGATTTCAAACACCCTGTAACTTCTCCTGGTGACAAATGGGTATGAGATAGCAGCAGCAACACCTCCAAACATTAGTCACACTGCTTTCCAACAAGCAGCAATTACATGTAATAGGTACTCTGTCATCTTGCTCCAGCTGAATTTTATAAAGAATTCGCTAATAAAAACTTGGCTTATGCTTACAAGCACACTATACCACTTCAAAAAGCAAAGGAAAACTTCAGCTTGACCTAAGTTTAGTAGCATATTGTCAGCTGTTAAAGTTTGCTGCACATTTATTAGGTTACTTGTCAGTTTTTACATCTAGTGTAGGGTTATGACTTCTCCTCCCACCAGTTTTGTCTTCGTATTTATTTTCATATTTATGTGTTGCTTTATAATTCAATGCAATTTTTATACATCCAGCAGTCTGACTAAGAAGTTCAGAAATATGAAGATTTATCTTCATTATTAACATTGATATAAGTGCACATATCAAGATATTCAACTATTTATACAGCTATCTAGCCTCATTAGCCTATTAAATCTTGCTGAGCCTGCTGCATGGAGAAAACTGGTGTTGTTCTCTTAGGTTGTTCTCTTGGCATTTCATAGAGGTTATGATTAAGTTCCTTGAACTGAAAGCAAGCGTATGGATTTAATCTAGTTAAAAATAAAAGAAATGCTGCTCTTCTGTTTTTCAAAGCCCCTGAAAGTGAGAGGTTAATATATAGTTCTGGCTTATCTGAAGTTTATTGAGTGAACTTAGTATACTGTTGATTTGAGATCAATACCAGCATAGAAGAAAGACGAACATGGTTGTTCAAGTGAAGCTGAGACAGTGCCATGAGGTGCCTCAAATTTTCACTCTAGAGTCACCACAATCCAGTGTCCATGAGGGACTGGTATATAGGGATACCACAGGCTTGTATGCATGACATGGCAGCTGTAACATCAACTGAGACAAAATCACTGATTTTGACTAAGGTGGATGGGTCACCTTTACTTAACATGGAAAAGGGACACATCTATTAAAAATGCACAGGTTTTTCTCACCTACTGATACAAATAAAACATTTCTGAGGAAGCTGACCTTCATACTCATAGGCCTATCATATTTTACCGGTCTACATAGGTAGGGACAGATTTGCACCTGGATTTCAGTCTGGGATTGGATGTGAGTTTACTCCTGCTTGAATATGTGCAGTGAAATGTTCTTCCTGTGCTTTGACACAGATGCCATTTTCCCCATCATGCCCAGAAATACAGTTTCAAGTAACACTCTCATAGTAGTGAAACTTGAATCATCTGAGGAAAAAGCAGAGCTGTTTGGATATAGAAAATTTATTCCTCACTGCTGCTGAGATGAACATTGAACAGCACTCAATCTGGTTTACAATTTCCAAAGAAAATGAAACACAGGAGGGGATAGACCAAGCACTAGGAGCTTATTCTGAGGCTGATCAGTGTCAGCTCAAATGAAAATGGATTGTGAAGAAAAAAAAATCCAATCTTGAAAGCTTGTTTGTCTGCTGATACATCACGTACACAACTGCACAGAGCAATTTGATCCGGCTGCAGTCTGCCAGGTACAGCCCAATGTGGCAGCGCCGCTGTTCTTCCCACCGCAGCGAGGAGCCCCTCGGGAGTGACTGACCAGAGCAGGAGCCCGGCAACGCCAGCGCTCCAGGAACCTTCTGCTTATTTCCGTGGCGCTTCCTACTGACACGAGGACTCGGGGGCATCTCGGTCCGCACCCGAACCGCGGCTGTGGCAGCTGTGGGTGCCAAAGGCACGGCTCGGGGGCTCCAGTTTGGGACAATAAGCTCCATCCCTTTCCCGAGGCCCTGCGGCCGGTGACCCCGCCGGTGATACATCCCGCCTATCCCGGCGGGATGGCCACGGCATCCCGCACAGCCGCTGACCTCGGCAGCAACTGCCTTCCTCCCATCGGGCCCTCGAGGGCTTCCAGGCTTTATTTGCCTCCTCCGGGGATGCAGGAGAGCGCGGACAGCTCGGGCTCAGCCAGGAACGCCGCTGGGACTCAGCGCTGGATGGAACAACCCTCCCGGCTCCGGGACATCCCGGGGGACCAGCTGCACCGCCTCCCGGGACGCTACCATGCATCCGCCGGGAACACCGCTAGTCCAAACCTTCCTTACATCCCAAACAAGTGCCTTTCTCAGGAGCAACCCGGGGGGCTGCCGGCATCCCAGTCAGCGGTCCCCACAGCAGGGGAAGCCCAAAACCTGAGGTATTAACGAAACGCCCGGGGTGGGCATTAATTCAAACCTTCCTTATTCCCAAACAAACGGCTTTCTCGGGGGCGCCTCCCCCGCCCTGCCGTCCCCTCCGCGTCCCCGTCCCCTCACCCCTCTCCCTCCCGCCCCGTCAGCCCCCCTCGCCGCTCCCTGCGCACTCAGCCGAGCCCGCCGCCCCCAATCCCCTCAGGACCCGCCCCCTCTCCGCCCTGCGATTGGTCATTCCCACTGTCACTCCGGCGCCTTCCCTGCCCATTGGTCGAGGCTGGGCAGCCGCCCCGCCCCCCGGCGCTGTCGGTTGGGGCGAGCCGAGAGTAAATAGACGCCGGAGCCCAAGATGGCGGAGCCGCCAAGTCCCGGTCGTGGCGCGGCGCCCCCGAGCAGGAGCCGCTCGGCGCCAGGGCGGCCCCGGACCGAAGGGTTCCCGCGGTCCCAGCCGGCCGCCAAGAAGGTGAAGGGAGCCGAGGAGCGGAGCCTGAAGGGCGCGAAGCGCGTCAACGGCGAAGGGGGCGGCAGTGGCGGCGGAGCGCCAAGCAGCCGCTGCCCGCGGTCGTGCCGAGCTACGGCGGCCCCGCGCCCTGGGGCTTCGCCGCGCTGCCCTCGGGCCCCTCGGCGGCGCGGGGGGCTTCGCCTTCCTGCCCCGCTGCCCCGGAAGCTGCTGCCGCCCGCGGTGCTGCTGCCGCCGTCCGCCTCCCCCTCCTCGTCCCACCCGCAGCACCAGCACCGCCACCCCGCACCGCCTGGCGCTGGCGGCAGAGCCGGGGGGCGGCGGGAGCGGCGGAGCGCCAAGCCCAAGAGGCCCAAGGAAAAGCGGGACAAGGAGAGGAGGAAGCACGGGGCGCTGCCCGTGGTGGCGGCAGCGGCGGGAGATGGCGCGGGGGCCTGAGCCGGGAGGAGAACGGGGATGTGAAGCTGCTGTTCCCGAAAGGTGAGCGCGGGGCCGCGCGGGCGGCCCGGGGCGGGGAGGCAGCGCTGGAAGGGGCAGGAAGAGCGGGGGGGGGGCTCGGCGGAGGTGTCCGGCGGGAGCAGGAGGGGGCTGTGGTGCCGGGCTGGGGGCTGCGGGCAGTGCAGGACCCGGTCACACACCGCCGGCGTTGTGTAAGTTCGTGGGAAGGCAGCGGCGGCTCATAGTGCCGTCAATCCTGTCAAAAAAAGGGGGTGTGGAATTAGCGATGGCGTCAGCCAGAAGCTGCCAGAGGCCTTAGGTTTTCTTACCTATTAGGGAAATAAGGGTGCCGAGTAATTTATTAGAGATCTGCGAACAAAACTGAATTGAGGGAAAAACGGAGAACACGTTTCAAACCCCCCTCCCCCCCATTTAAAATTAAACCCTGAATGATCTCGTTTATTAGTCTGTTAATTTTTACAGGGTAAGTCGTTGAGTACTAGAGAACATGCTCTTAAAATTCAGATACTTGGACTTTTGAATTCTCATTTAGTTGCTGTTTCGGGTTTACTTTATTTCCTGAAGATCACATCTTCCAAGAAATGCTCGAGGCCTTCAGGAGAAGGGGAGGAGTGTTGGGTTAGTTCATTAGTAGTGCTGGACAAAAATGGCCATATGAGGTAGGACAAGATGTTGGGCCAGATTCTTGCTTGGATTCCTGCTGACTGTGATCAACAATAAATCTTGGGAAGTAAAAGACAATGCATGAATATATGAAGACAGTGCAAGAATACATGCTTTTATTTCCAGTGTGTCCTTTCCCAGTCTCCAGTGACCTTAAACCAGATGTTGATGCTTTTGCATTTACATTGAAATATGAAGAATTTGAAACGTGTGCTCCATTACCTAGTTTAAGCAAGTTTCCTTTCTTTCAAAGGAAAGATAAATTGTAGCTGTTGTGTAGACTTAGATTATTTTGATTGTGGCCTGTGTTTGTAGGATCAGACAAGCATGTAGAGAAATCTCATTAATAGCAAATATGCCTTTTTGTCTATTGATTATATTGTCTGGGTACCTTACTGCATTTTCCACTAATTTCCATGAGCATCTTGGTGTATGATTTACTTACCTTTTAGTTTTTGGGTTTTTTTAGAGTATTTGGATTGGTGGTATACAAGTGGTTTTTAAGTATCTCATTTCAGTGCTTTCAAGTATTCCATTTTAGTGCATTTTTCCTTGTTCCTGTTAAAAGGCGACTTGGAAAAAGTCTTAAGAAATGATGCTCAGAAATTATGTTGGTGAAGCCTTCTTGTCTTCAAGGATAGCTGCTAAGAAGCTGACCCAATATCCTTCTAGTAAAGCTGTGTAATTAATAACCATATTCAATAAGATTGCCACAGTGTCCTACCACTGTTACACAGTCATGTTAATAAATCTCTGGGAACCATATTACAATAACAATATGTAACAATGTATAATAATGAAGTGTTTTTTCACATTGGTAAAAGAAATTGACACTGATGGTGTCAACTGAATAATTGTTGTGATTTTTCTTTAAAGAGGAGATTCTGCACCTTGTATCTGGAAAGGATATTTTCTTCGAACTTAAATGCTGACAGACACAGGTTCTCGACTTTTTACTTGCTGATTGCTCAGAGCAGATCTTTTTACCTCTCGTTTATTTTGTGAAAACCTACCTAATGCAACACATAAATTTTCCACAGCAAGTGTTTGGCATCTGAGTCTCCAGATTTCTGCTTAAAGGAAGTAGTTTCTATACCTAAAATTTTGTGGCATAATTTCTCATATAAATTAAGAACTTTATGTTCATTAGACTATATTTTTGCAGAGAAGGCTGTAAGGAAGTGAAGGATCCACTGTGTCTTCTGCTGAGAGCAGCCAGCCTTTTAAAGGTGGTTCAGTATTTGACTGTAGATTAAAGAACAGGTTTGTGCTGTTAATCCTGTGAATAATTTACTTTTCGGAGAGGAAGGGAGAAATGCAGTTGTGATGCAGGGAGAAAAGAATGGCTGGGGGGCAGGCATGTAGAATCCTAAGCACAGAGGAAAACTAGGAATGACATATTACGGTGGGAGGGTAAAATATGCAGGGCTTGTGCTTAGGAGTACTGAAACTGTGGCATAGACTGGAAGGAGATACCATAGGGACTGTGGTTGCAGCATATAATGAGTGAATTTGAGAAACTGACGTGAAAGAGGGAGGAAAAGCAAAAGCTGTGTAAGAGGAAAGTGATTCTGATCTTGTTTTGGGGCAAAAAATATTATACTTTGGTGCTGTAGAAAAGGCAAGGAGGGTTAGCAAAGGGTAGGATGGAAGAAGAAGGAAAATTTTAGTCAATCTACAGTTACAACTTCAGGATGAGTTTAGAGGATTTTGTGTAATTAAAGTAGCTGAGAGGTTTGCACACACAGAAAATGTGAGGGGTGGGGAGTAGGAAAAAATATGCCCCTTAAGGTGTACTGAGATGAGTTCATAGAAGCTGTCACCCTGCAGCTTGAAACGCACTCTAAAAATTGACCTAATGCAGGCAAGTGCAGTCTGTTCTTCCTGGAGTCTGCAGTTGAATAACCTTTTTTGTCTTGGTGCAGTGGAAAATGAGCAGCAACATGGAATTAAGAGTATTGATTGTTTTTCTCTCATAGCTTTCAGAACTGATACAAGTATCAGTGTTGCACCTGTCAGAAAGGAGACAGTGCCAGTGCAGACACTAGAGGTGTAGAGGCAGAAATACCAAGAGATAAGCAGGTGGAACGAGTAGGAGTTCCGTGGTTGTTTTGAGACTTTGAAGGTGGAAAAAATCCATCCTCCTCTTTGCAGCCAAAGGGGAGGTGCCTTGCAGGTGGGCACACGGGATGGAGTGGAATTCACAATTGGCTTTGCTCCGATAAGAGTGTCAGTACCTGTGACTGGGGAGGAGGGTGCTGTGTGCCTGCTCTGCTCCATAGGGCAGTTGAGATGCCAGGAGAAAAAGCTTTACCTTGGTGAAGGCCTGCACAGATCTCAGTATTAGAGACAATGAGGAGCAGAGCTAGGGGGATCAGGGGAAGAATGGCAACATTTGTCTCATGAGGTTGCTGAGTCTGTAGTGTAGACAAGGTAATGCAGGGAATCAGGGTGTGCAGTGCTGTGGAGTGAGAGATCTGGCCTTGCAAAATCATCATCATAAGACTTGGAGTAGTAACAATTGCATTTTCCTAATTCTAGTTTATCTACTGTGATGATGATAAGGGATATTGAGGAGGACATTGTGAGAAGATTTTTCACCTAGCATTCAAAAGTGCTGATGAGAGGAGCTGATGTTAGTCCTTTGCTGGCAACAATGATTGCTAGATAAAAGAGCCTAGTTTTGAGGCACCTTTCTTTCCTAAGTGATAGGAAGATGTTAAACCTGCTAATAGCCAAGATGGATGATGTGTTTAAAGCTCTTCAAAATGGTTATATTTTCTTCCTTGAACAAGTCTTCATTTAAAGAATTCTCTGGTCTTTTAATTTATTGCAAAGACCTTTGAGTTGCAGAGTCATAACCAAGCCTTACAACTTGTGATTCCATCAAATGAATGGAGTTCAGTGAACCCTTCTGAGATGATGATCTAGCATGCACAGAACCTGAAAGAACCTTTTGCAAGATGTACGATTTATCCTCTGTATACAAGGCTTAGGCTGTTTAAAATAAGCTTAAATTTCACTTGTCAAGTACATTCTGATAGTGGAACTAGAAGTTGTGCAATATTTTTGTTTTAAAACATGGTGTGAATCTGACAAAAGTGATTGCTGTTTCAGGTTATGACTGTGCTGATTCAGTTAGTCATTTAACTGATAGTCTGCTCTAGCAGTTCATAGTTGAAATTGTTTTCATAACAGTGCAAAGCTCAGCTCAGCCGCTCCCCACTTCATCAGAGGACACCTGCCCAGAGTTTTTGTTTTGGTCTGCAGGCTTGCAGTAAGATGTAGTAATCCAGTTGCATGACCCATCAGTTCTGCTTTTCTTGCCCTTTCTGTGTACAGAATTCCTTTTTTTCTTCAGTGATCCATTTGCTGATTACCTCAGTGTACAAGCAGTTGCAAAACGAGGCTGGTATCTTTAACGTGCAGATGGGGATTCCCCCATGAGCAGGAAAGCTGAATATGGTGCTGTAACTCTTGTTTTTCCTATTAGTTTGTTTTTCCCTTTGCCCCCCTCCCCCAGTTCTTTCTCTTGCTGTCTTTGAAGGATAAATTAGATTACATTTCAGGTGAGCATTTCCCACTGATTCTTCTAATAACTCTTGCATGACACTTCTGGGTTTTTGGCTTTTAAGAAGTTGCACTTTTCGGTCTGGTTAAATTTGGTTTGCATCCAGTGGAATGCTCATTTCATAGTCTGTGTTACTAAAGTAGGTTGGAGAAAGCTTTGGATCTTCTTCTTTTTCCCTTCTTTAGAACTGGGGCCATGAAGCTTGCTGCTTTTGTTGTCTTTTTTTCTTGTGCTAAATGTTTCCTCCTTCTGTTAGCTTCCATTTCCTTTGCTTTTTTTTTTTTTTGGTACTATGTGGCTTAATTCACTTCCCTCTTCCCTCTGCTGAACTCCTTAAATTCACCAGTTGTTTTCATGCTTGTGAGGCCTCTTGATCACTCTCTTATGAATTCTTTGATATATTTCTATTTAGATACCACACTGTAAGCAGCAATATCTAGCAAGTGTTTAGGGTTTTGAGTGTGGTATTCAACAGGAAGAGGGACTTCTCAGATTTCTTTAGATGTTTGAGATGTATATGCAGTTTAGTTTTCAGAGCTGGTAGTGACATTAACTGTAAGTGTCCGCTGTTGAGATAAATTTGGAGCAGTGTATCTTTCTCCTGAGGGACCCTGACCCTTTTTCAGTGAGATAACCGGAAGCTTTGCTAGGCAGAACAAAATCTTTCACCTTCTAAGCTGGAGAACAAAGTCCCTCCTCTACCCCAGAATCCAGCTTTATGTGTAATTTCCACAGCAGAAGCTTGCTCTGATTTTAGAATATGAAATAATTTTTCTTAGTTGACACA